CAACATTGTCCTGAATCTTGAGCAAGAAGATTCCAATGTAAACCTGAGATTCAGAATGGATCAGTCAAACTGTAGCTATTCCCTGGTGCGTTGGTCACTGGTCAACAGTTGGTTAATATAAAAATAATCCAGATTTGGGAAAATCTAGAATACTGCGGAAAGTAAAGATGAATGTGGGATCAAATCTAATTTCTTATGAAGTGTTTTTTTTTTGTCTGTTAAATTTGTCTAAATTTTTACAGTTTCGTCTTTTCATTTTCCAGTTTTTTCCAAGGAGAAAAAATACAAAAGCCTGGAATAGAAATATCATTCAAATTTGTTTGCTAACTTTGTCTCAATTTTTCTCAAATTTTGGCTTTCTATTTCTTAGTTTTTTGTGTCAATTTTTATCTATTCTTGGCTTATGAATCTTATTCAAATGTCTCCTAAAGTAAGAAAATTTCAAAAGCCTGAAATAGAAATAACATACAAATGTCTATTTGTCTGATAACTTTGTCTTAATTTTTCTTACGCTTTGTCTTTCTATTTCTCAGATTTTTCGTATGTTTATTTTCAGTTCCTTCTATTTTCCTATATTTGATTCCACTTGTCTCCAGGAATAAAGGAATCGAAATATATGCGAGATAAAAGTGAGTAACAGGGATAAAATTAAAAAAAGAAGAGAAGCCGAAACAAAAAACATAAGAAGCTCTAAAAGAGCGGACAAAATTAAGAAAAACGCGAACCAAGAAACAAGAAACATGAGAACAACCTATAAAAAAAGGGGACAAAACCTATGAATTAATATGGACTTGCATTGACTGGTACTAATTAATTAATAACTCTGCTTAGGCAAAATAAATAAATACAAGGACACTCCATAATGTTAAAAATATGCTTGTTTGATGTTATTTTTACCTTCATAAAATATTTCCCCGGTAGCCAGACAAAAGTGCCCCTTGCATATTTAAAACATCGGTGCATGATGTGCTTCTGGACCGTGCATTTTATATGGCACTTGTCTGCAAGTTGTTTCCGCTTTGATACCGGTATATGCAAATAAAACGTTTCTATAAAAATCCTAAGTAACTTTTTGGGAAGCAACAGCGAAGATGTCCTTTTCCATCTCCATTATTTCGTAATATTCATCCTCGAGGTAAAATGTCCCTCAAGACTTCAAAAAGGGAGAGACTTTTTTGTCTCTTGAGAAGCTTTCCAGAAAAAAAAAAACAAGGATTGACGTATATAGGCACATTTTACAACAAATTGCAAATTATTTGTCCTGACAAATAGCTAATATAGCATCAATCATCGTTTTGTCCGCTCTACCGCATTGTTTCACAAAACTTAATTCAAACTTTTAGCCGGAGAGAAGAATCTCGTAAATCTCTATCAAAATCTCCTTGGCTGTGGGTGAAAAATTAATTAAAATTTTCGTCTTTTACCTTTTGAAAATATTTTCTTCGCCTCAAGTAATTTGTTAATGTCATGTGGGTCTTTAGCAACTTTTAATTTTGAAAAAGTTTTAAAATGCCTCTCTGGGTAATAATAATGTATCCTTGAAATATTGAAATCGATAATGGCCTCTTTATTATAATATATAAGTATGTCTTTAAACTGCCAGCATAGCTAATTCTTAAGTAGGTATAATACCTACACCAAGTTGCATTCCTTTGAAATTGCCAACAGCATTTATATTATTTGCACACTATATTCTGGACTAATTAAAATGTTAAACGTGGAAAAGCCGAAAAGAAAATTAAATTTTACCTTCTAGAAATTGTTAGAGTCGAGGCTTATCATATATTTTAGTCTCTGGTTGCGCTCGCTACTGTTTCTACTTACCTTTCAGGGAGTTTTAGAGCCAATGCGAATGGAGAATATCCTTTACAAACAGTGGCGGATCTGGAAATAGTAGTAATTTTCTTAGAGATTTTGAATCAAGTAAGGAATTTTGAAGCCTAAATGATCTCAGAAAAAGAGTCAGAATCAAACAATAAAGTGTGAAAATCACAGGAAGAACTATTTCAAACAGTAAATCTGATCTCAGAAAACTTAGAGCTGGATCTCATGACATTTTTATTCCAAACATGTTCCTCCGTCACTGAAAATTTCAAAAATATCCCTTACACCAACGAGCCAAAATTAAAAGGATTCATTTCCCGAAATGGAATAAGGTAGGAGGGCAAATGTTAACTTCAAAGATTAGAGACTTCGCCAGCTCTCTTGCTCTTACTCTCTTATTATTTTGAGGCTCTAATTCTCCGCGAGGCTTAACTTAAGACGCTTTATTTTCGGCTTTAATGGACAACGCTATTTGCAGGAATTTACTCGCCTCCTGTATCCGAAAATAAAGTTAACCTATTTATATTGATACACTGCTCTCGATTTAATAGTTTCGAAAACATAATTTTATCGTCGGGTTTTATTGCCTATAGGAGAAATATTCACGAGAAGTCGTGTTTTTCCGGTAAATAAATAAATCGAGGCAGAAGGAAATTCTCGCGACAGTGGTAATTCGGGCTTTCAACGAATTTCTCGAGGCGAGAATTTTTAATTAGGGGCCGCCCCCCATACAGTGTAGCTGCCTCCGTGCGGTTAAATGCAGCATTAAAACGATAATGCGTCTACAGGAGCGAATTCAATTCAGAACGAACGAGACGAGGATAATTCAACATTTTTTGGCAAGAAATTGTTTCAATATTCCATTGAAATTGGCTCTGAAATTGTTCTAGAGTCGAAATTTTCAATTACTGTGGGTTCTTGATTCGGTACCTACGCGTATTCTTTGAAGGCAAAATCAAGAACTGGAACTTTGACTATTGTGAGCTCCGGAAAAGTTTTTACGAGTCATGAACCTGAATCTTGATCGTCATTCCAGAGGCATTCAAGAGCCAGTAATAGTAAAATGTTTGATTACTGGCGGTTCTTGATTAGGTGCGTGATTTTCTTGAAAGCAGTCAAGAAGTAGGAACAATAAGAACTGGAACTGTGACTATTGTGAGCTCCAGAACAGTTTTTACTGCAAGTCATGAATTGATCATCATTGGCTCATGATTGTATCTACAATTATTGTTCTAAAGGCATTCATGAGCCAGTAATAGTCTAAGTTTCAATTGCTGTCAGGTTTTGATTCGATGCCCCATTTCTTTGAAGGCAAGTAAGAAGAAGGAACAATGAGAACTGAAACTTTGACTATTGTGAGCTCCAGAACAGTCTTTATTGCGAGTCATGATTTTGAATTTGGATCATCATTGGCTCATGATGTTTGTTCTAGAGCCGGTGATAGTCAAAATATCCTGTTGAAAAAAGAAGTTTCTAATAATACATCAGCTAAGAAGTTTCTCTGTACATTTTAATATATAATTTATTATTTATAACATTGAAGTTTTGTAGTTAGACTTGGCAGAATAATATATTTCTCATTGTAAAAACGTTCCAAGTTTATACATCAATCCTTACAAAACTTCAAACTCAATTTGCTCAAAAACTAGAAATCTGGAAATATTGTAAATTACAGGCCATTCAGAGCTTGATGAGAGCTACAAATGCTGGAAATTTCAATGCAATTTGCTCAACGGTTACCGAGCAATTGAAGTTTGAATATTTTGAAATCAGAATTCAAAGAGAAAAATGAAAAATTCGATTTTTTTTATTTTTTAGTTTTGCTCAATTTTGACTTCAGGAATCGATAGAGCGGATCAAAATTAGTGGGAAACAACCCTGATATCAATTCCAAATAGCCATTTTAAGAAGACACAAAAATAAAAAGAAAATCCTATTTTTGGCTCTGGAAAATTTTCAAAATCCTGACATGGTCATGAACAATTGCCCATATCTTTGGTAAATTTCTAGCAAATTAAAATAAATTATACATCGTTGGAAAGAGCCTTAAATTCTCTATAAATCTGTGTAAAATTGAGCTCGATAGCTCGGATAGTTTTTGAGCAATTGAGTTTCAAAGTTGACTTTTAGTCCAAATTTTGTCGAAAACTTCAAACTCAATTTGCTCAAAAACTAGAAATCTGAAAATATTGTAAATTACAGGCCATTTAGAACTTGATAAAAGCTACAAATTCTGGAAATTTTAAAGCAATTTGCTCAACGGTTACCGAGCAATTGAGGTTTGAATATTTTGAAATCAGAATTCAAAGGGGGTACCCTTATGAAAAATTCGATTTTTTTATTTTTTAGTTTTGCTCAATTTTGACTTTATGAATCGATAGAGCATATCAAAATTAATGGGAAACAACCCTGATATCAATTCCAAATGGCCATTTCAAGCAGACACAAAAATAAAAAGAAAATCCTATTTTTGGCTCTGGAAAATTTTCAAAATCATGACATGGTCATGAACAATTGCCCATATCTTTGGTAAATTTCTAGCAAATTAAAATAAATTATACATCATTGGAAAGAGCCTTAAATTCTCTATAAATCTGTGTAAAATTGAGCTCGATAGCTCAGATAATTTTTGAGCAATTGAGCCTCAAAGTTGACTTTTAGTCCAAATTTTGTCAAAAATTTCAAACTCAATTTTCTCAAAAACTAAAAATCTGGAAATATTGTAAATTACAGGCCATTTAGAACTTGATAAAAGCTACAAATTTTGGAAATATTAAAGCAATTTGCTCAACGGTTACCGAGCAATTGAGGTTTGAATATTTTGAAATCAGAATTCAAAAGTATTTAATACGTAAAAGGGTTTATTGTATTGTACAATTGGCGAGAGAGAAAGGGAGCTACGGAGAAAAGTGAGATGGAAGAGTACTGGTGCAGCGGAAGAGCGTGCTGTCGCGGCTCGAAGAAAATTACTTTTTTAATATTTAATTCTATATTTCCCTTAAAATTTGAGACAAAAATAATTATTCTTGAACATATATATTCTAAATACATGAAGCAAACTTTTTGGAGGAATAAAAGTTTTGGAGATAATACGAGGTGAATGCAAAAATTAATATATTTCAATCAGAGCACGTCTTTTATTTCAATATTCCATTGAAATTGTCATTGAATGTCATCTATTGACACATCCAAGCATGATGTTTAAAAACCTCCCAGTTTTAGGCAGATCAATAAAGCGAAGCCTCAAAAAAACTTGCTGCGAACCACCCAAAAAAGAAATAATCGCTGAAGAAATCGAACGACCCTCTCACCAAGCCAGAGCTTACAAAAGAGGCGAATGGCGGCCCTATTCGCCCTTCAAACCGCAAGGTACCCAACTCAACAACTAAACCAACTTTCCTCAAACTTAAAATTCCACAGGCAAAATCGAATGGACAATGGCAAGACTGGACGACCTCCTAAATTGGGGCAGGAAAGGATCATTGTGGCCAATGACCTTCGGTCTGGCCTGCTGCGCAGTCGAAATGATGCACATTGCTGCGCCAAGGTACGACATGGACCGGTATGGCGTGGTGTTTAGGGCTTCGCCCAAACAGACTGATGTTATTATAGTGGCTGGTACTGTTACCAACAAAATGGCGGTAGCTTTTCGAAGAGTTTACGATCAAATGCCCGAACCTAAATGGGTTATTTCTATGGGAAGTTGTGCCAATGGAGGAGGGTATGAAGCTTCCAATGCTTATAATTTTAACTTAAAGGCCGATTTAGACATATTCAGTAGTCTCATTGACGTGAATCTAACGCTTTGCCAGCCAAGTATTGGCACACTGGATACGTGTAAATCAGCTTTAAAAATAGCAAACAAAACCCCATATTTTCCTTATAGGTACTATCATTATTCGTACGCTGTGGTGAGAGGTTGCGATCGCCTAATACCAGTTGACATTTACGTACCAGGTTGTCCTCCTACAGCAGAAGCCTTAATGTACGGTGTCCTAATGCTCCAAAGAAAAGTGAAAAGGGCAAACGGTGTTCAAATGTGGTATAGAAAAATTTGGTCTCACAAGCACAGAGTCGGCTTTTGAATAATTCCATTAGTTCGGTTCTCTTTTTGCATAATTCGGCTAAATTTTTAAGTTTTTAGGTAAAAAGTTCCGTTCTTTTTAATGATCTATTTAAATACAGGTATAATGCCGTCACCTCGGCGGAAGTTGAACTTAACTTTAAGATGGCACTTGGAGGGATTTCATTTAAATTCATTTGAAATGCTAATGCCTAAATCCCCCGGTCGTGAATAAAAATTATCCGTCGCGGAGTTGTGTATATTATTTATTTTTACTTACCTTTTTATGGATATCGACGACTGCATTCCAAAATTCTATAGCGATTGTCTGCCTGGAAATAAACAATTTTTTTGATTATTTTCGGCTCCTAAATGATAAATTATTTATTCATTTATGCCATCAGATTTGAATTGATTTGGCCCAATTTTTGGTCAGGTGCTCAGATTAATTCGAGCACGCAGCCACCGAAAACTTTATACGTCATCAGCGAAGAGATTCGTTGAAATTTAAATATTTTAATGATATCGGATTTGCAGCCGAGCAGAGCGCGATTTAGATTTAAGTTCCACTAAAAGCGTTTCGCTTTTATGTTTTAATTTTATGGCGGAATTAAATTTTGGTAGGCAGGTATATAGGATATTGTTTTAACTTAACCTACAAAAAGAGGCTCATTCGTTGTTCAACCTCAATGATAAATATGGTGTATTAGTTACTATATCTTTCTACATAATTCTCAAGGTTTTGACACGCATTTTATTAACTAAGAAAGTTTGGTGCACAATAATAAACTTTCCACCGGGTGCTAATTACAAGGTAACTTTCCATATGATAAATGTTCTGGCCTTATTTTACTAATTTATAGAATGAACTCCGGAACTCACGTACCTACTCCAAGTGTATAAAGTTAAAATGTTCATTTAATGCGTGCGCGCTTTGAATAATTTCGCTTCCGGCTATGCGGGATTTTAATAAAAGTCCTCCGTTTGTATGACGCAAAACAGGTGCATAGTTGTCGGTCAGGTTACAAATCAAAATCGACTTCAATACAGGAAATTTACATGTGAAAGCTTCCAACCTGGTAATGTATCGCACTACGTATGAATCAATTATTCGCCAAACATTGAATTGAACAAATTTCCGAAGTTTTGGATGGAAACTTCTCGCAGTTATCCACAAGTCAATAATTCGCGAGAGGGGGGCGATTTCCATATTTCCCTCTGCTGGAAAAATCCCAATCAAGCAGTTTGAACTTGCCTCCTTCCACCGAAAAGTTCGTCGTCGGGGCATAAACTTTTCGAATGAAAAGTTTTTTGGCGGGTAAAAGGCGTTCTGTGTCCTTTGGCTTGGCTCGGCCCAGAGAGGAGAACAAATTGAAACCTTCGCCGGGAACTTTTTAAATGAAGTAAAGGGAAGAGGCGGGATTTTTCAGCCCATAGTTTATTGAATAAGTTCGTTTTTTTTTTAGGGATCTTTACGTCATTTTTGTCTAACTACTATATCTCATTTGACTTTTTCAATAAAGAATCGCCTTTGATTGAAGAAAGTCTTCTTTTGCAGTTTTCTGGTTGCAACATTTGCTAGTTGGATATTTTGAATATTATCGGCTCTTGAATGCCTCTAGAACAATTTCAGAGCCAATGATGATCAAGATTTAGATTCATGACACGCGGTAAAAACCTTCTTGAGCTCACAATAGTCAAAGTTCCAGTTCTTATTGTTTCCTCTTCTTGATTGCCTTCAAAGAAATCTCACATCGAATCAAGAACCCACAGTAATAGGAAATTTGACTTTTACTGCCTCTTGAATGCCTCTAGAACAATTGTAGAGCCAATCATGAGCCAATGATGAACAATATTTAGATTCATGACTCGCAGTAAAAACTGTTCTGTAGCTCATAATAGTCAAAGTTTCAGTTCTTATTGTTCCTACTTCTTGATTGTCTACAAAGAAATTGTGTACCGAATCAAGAACCGACAGTAATTGGAAATTTGACTTTTACTGCCTCTTGAATGCCTCTAGAACAATTGTAGAGCCAATCATGAGCCAATGATGAACAATATTTAGATTCATGACTCGCAGTAAAAACTGTTCTGTAGCTCATAATAGTCAAAGTTTCAGTTCTTATTGTTCCTACTTCTTGATTGTCTACAAAGAAATTGTGTACCGAATCAAGAACCGACAGTAATAGGAAATTTGACTATTACTGCCTCTTGAATGCCTCTAGAACAATTGAAGAGCCAATCATGAGCCAATGATGATCAATATTTAGATTCATGACTCGCAGTAAAAACTGTTCTGTAGCTCATAATAGTCAAAGTTTCAGTTCTTATTGTTCCTACTTCTTGATTGTCTACAAAGAAATTGTGTACCGAATCAAGAACCGACAGTAATAGGAAATTTGACTATTACTGCCTCTTGAATGCCTCTAGAACTATTGTAGAGCCAATCATGTGCCAATGATGATCAATATTTAGATTCATGACTCGCAGTAAAAACTGTTCTGTAGCTCATAATAGCCAAAGTTTCAGTTCTTATTGTTCCTACTTCTTGATTGTCTACAAAGAAATTGTGTACCGAATCAAGAACCGACAGTAATAGAAAATGCGACTATTACTGCCTCTTGAATACCTCTAGAACAATTTAAGAGCCATTCGAGAGCCGGTAATAATTGAAATTTTATCGTAAAATATCTCTCCTGTGAATCAAGAGCCAATAATCAGTGGAATTTAGATTCATGATTCGTAGGGAAACTTTTCAAGAGCTCATAGTGGTCACTGCACTTGATTTTCTCCAGAGAAATCTGTCAGCGATTCAAAAAATGATAATTTTATTGTTACTGGCTCTTGAAAGCCTCTAAAAAAGTTGTAGAGCCAATCAAGAGCCGATAATAATTTTTAAAAAATCTATATTAGAAAACTCTTGTCCTCAATCGCTATGTAGATTTTTACCAAACATTTCCAAAACCCCTAAAATCTCAATAAATCAAACCACAAAGTCCCCGAAGACGAATAATTATCTCGAAATCGTGGCGAATCACGTACTTTGCATTGTAAATTAATTAAAGACTAATTGAGGGGGGTGAGTCAAATCGGCCGTCCTACAGAGACCTTTGAAAATACGGACCGGCTGCCCAATTATCTGACAATTTAAACTAGAAATCCTGTCAATTATCGAACCCAGTATTACTTGAACTAAAATATGTAGCGAGGCAATCTCGAACAATAAAAAAAAAGCGTGTGTAGCTTAAAAATTTAGGAGAAATGTTCACGTTCTTTGTTTGTCTCAGCATAGGGACGAAGTGAGCCCTCCTTTTTAAATATTCATCATTGAGGGTTTTCCTTTGTTGCATCCAAGAAAACGTGCTTTTAAATATTTACGCCTAGACATACATTTGCATTTTTTTCACTCTGCTCGAGTAATTAATCAAACAAAAGGAGGAATTGGCACAAAATCAACTCATTCTCTTTGGCCAATAAAGCAATTACAAACTAGTACAGTCAGGAATAATGCTATCTCAATTTACCTTCGATTAGATAACGAGTGTTTCATTAGGTTCCAGTTCAATTGATTTAGTATTGGCTCACACGACTGGATATTTGCATATAAGATCTCTCTGATTCGATGATGTTAAGTTTTTTGACCGTATAATTGATTAAGTTTAATAAGTTATTTGCAAAGGATTGGTGTGTCTCTGTGTGTCATTGATTTTCTAATCTTTGTGGCATTTATTATTAAACTTCTCACATTATTCGTTTACTAAAATTCAACAATTTATTAGTGACAAATGAACAAGGCAAGTGATAATCAAAGTTAAAGCGTCCCGACCCTGAACTAAACACACAGAAAACATTTTGCCAAATTAGTCAGGCAACCAACCCTTTTAAAGCCCCCCTATAACTCCATTCCTATGGGCCAGGTGACCTTAAAACAGAAGACGATTTAATGCTTGGAAAGTTTGTTGTAGTTTCAAGTTTTTATTGGTAAATGAATAAATTAGCTTTGACCTCAGGTGGCCAGTAAACTCGCCATGAATATTTAATAATTGGAAATATTTGGTGAAAATTGCGGTAAAACGAGCCGTTAAAATTCGGGAGCAACAGATGTTCGCCTGGGCTGACCGTTCTTTCATTAATCCAGACAAATTAAAATGTTTCGAAATAAAAACGCTTTACACCTAATGAAACTTTAGTCAATGGCCAAAGCATAATGTAACTAAGAATCGGGAAATTCGATTCCGAGTCGTTTGACTTGCCCCCGGAGTCAAATTAAAGCTTTTCCAGAAACCCCGAAACGCTCATTGCATTCTTATCGAGGCAATTAGTGGATGAAACTTACCAATAATAATATCTTGTAATTCGGAAGAAGACACATTGTTCTATGAGTAGTATAGCAGCAACAGTTCTGCACCACTTACGACCATTTTTCAAACTGTAATGACTTTAGACTATTTATTTGATTCAAACACATTTTTCACCATCCATTCGTGTCCGGGAAACAATTATATCGAAGCTAGAAAGTTTCGAGTAATTAAATATAGGACGTCAATAACGTAGCGACGTTTCAAACGTTTGTTTGCACTCCGACTCCATTAGGAACTTTTCGGTAGACAATAAAGCGTCTCTATAAACTTTGATTATTACCTCCAGGGGGGACTTATCCGACAAATACTTTTGCAAGAAAGTTTTTCGTCCATTAATTATTATGAATTAATGATAAGTATACACGAAAGACAATAATGATTTTTACAAAAATTTATTCAGCTCTTCACAAAATAGATTCAACATAAAGGGTCTAAAATCCAATATAATAGCAAACTAACCAGAACAAAAAACCCCCGATTGACCTTTACCTCTAAAAGCCACTTGCCCCATGGATATTTACCTATATGACCCCGATCGGTTTAGGTTATTGCTTCAAGCAATCCAGACCACCATCCAGAAAACGTTATTAAATATTTTATTTAAATGTTATTAGTTTTGGCAGCTGGCCTGGCTCTGGCTTGGAAATTGCCCCAGGGAAAAGTGGTTTTCTTGTATATATGTTCAAGTAGACTTTTGCCAGTTTTCTAATTATAATTTCAAGAGGGAAGAGGATGGGTATTGTATTATTTTTAAAAAGTTTTAATAAAGGCCTTCATTTCTATTTGAAAAGAGTATCTTAAAATTAAACTCCTTTAACAAAAGATTTAAACTTTTCTTCGACCTCTTAATCTTTTCCATTTTATACCGAGGAAACCCCGGAGGGCCGTTTTTATTGAAACCGTGGTGGTATTTTCGGTTTGGCTCGCTTGAATAAAC